AATAAACAATATTCTCTAAAAATTAAGTTTCACTATAGAAAATTTAAATATTAATAAAAATTCATCTGTGATTTCAAATACATTTTTGTTATTAAAATATTAATAAAAATGCTTATAACATATAAAATATATAATTTGCAAATCAAATCAAATATTTGAAGATTAATTTGTATTTAAAGATATGATTATAAATAAATTTAGAAATTACAAATTATAGAAAAGTTAAATTGCTTATCTATAATAAATAAATCTTGATAAAAAAATTATTATAATTAAAAATGAGAGATGAAACCAAAAAAACAATTAGTGAGGGATACGACAAAATCCCAAAACCTGAAATTAGCTAAAACTATATTAAAAAATATAGTAAGGGATATGATCAAATTATTTTGTGAGAGTTTTGGAAGTATTCATATTTATAATAAATTTTATGAATAACTTTTAAAAGAAATATGAACTTAAAATCAATAATTTTTATGAGACTGTTAAGGTAGTGTTGGGTAATTAGACAATTTTAGACAACTTTAAATAGGTTTTGAACATTATTTTATATGTATAGAGGAAGGATAAAAATTATCGGGTAAATTATTTCTTAATTAATATTAAATAAAAAACAAGATTTTTCCATAATTAGTGTTTATTTAGGCCGAATTTTTTTAAAATGTTTCACAAAAAGCTTCAGCTATTCATTTAAAATAAAAAAAATGATTACCAAAAACAGAACTTTCTGCTTTTGAATGTGAAGAAGTTGTTAGTACTTGAAAATATAATATAACTGAAAGAAAATAGCATAGAGTATTAATTATCCCAAAAATATCATTTATGATGTTATCTTTGCTTATAAAAATTTGGGTTTTGAAACAATGCCTACTCAGAGTAATAGACCATCTATTATTACAGATAGAGATAGTTATCATTTAGAAAGAGTTCTTAAAAGAAATAGACAAATCTTTAGAAAATAAAAGATAATTTTATTTTTCTATATTTACTAATATATGCATTAAGACTATTAAGCGTTATTTGTATAACAAAAGTTATTATAGACAGGTTGAAGTTAAAAAACCTCTTATTACTGAACTTAATAAAAAAAAGACTTTTATAGGCTCAGAAGCATAAAAAAAGTGGGATAATATTATTTAAAATGATGAATTCAGATTTGAATTATTTAAAGAAAATGAGAGAAGATATATTTGGAGAAAAAATCATGAATAATATGATTTAGACTGCCTTATTCCAATATTTAAATCAGGATAAGAAAGTGTTATGGTATGAGATTATTTTACGAAAAGTGATCTTGGATCTTTAATTAAACTAAAAGGAAGGATAAATGCAGAAAAATATGTTAATATGTTAGAAAATAATTTATTACTATATATATAAACTTTGGAGAATAAAGAAAGTTAATATTCTATGGCTTGCACAAAATCCAGATATGAATTTTATAGAAAACTTATGACAAGAATTGGATAGGTAGGTTAGGTCACGCAAACTATTACCAAAAAATCAAGAATAATTATGGCAAGCACTTTAGGAGGAGTGGTTAAAATTAGATGAAAATAAATATAAAAATTTGATTAATAGTATGCCTTGTAGAATTGCTGCTGTTATAACTCATAAAAGTAATCCTGCAAAACATTAAAATGTCATGTATATAGTTTGGATTTTATATGTTAAAATAAAAAAATTTATTTTAATTTGTTGCAATAGTTTTTAAATTATTATGATTTAAAAAATTCTTTAAATTTGATGTAAATGATCAACATTTGCGTTGTCCGATAATGTTACCCTTCTGTACAAAACCTTGTCCAAAATTAAAAAATGTGTTTAAAACCCATCACTGTATTAAGGTCTGTTTCAATTCTTAAGATTGGATCCTAAGTTTCAAAAACTAAGATTCTAGATTTCTACATAAGTTTAAAATATATTTTTAATAAATATTCAATTAATACATTATAAATAGAAAGTAAAATATAATGCCAATAAATAAAAATCTTTAGAACTGGTAAGTTTATTGAGACTTTTAGAACTGGTTAAACCAGTTTAACATTACTATTTGTATTTGATCAAATAAAATTTCTCTGATTTGAATTTGATCAAATCGAATCAATTATTAATTTGAATTTGGATTTTCAAATTGAAATATCATATTGAATTGCAGAACCATAGTATCAAGTAATAAAAATATCAAATCACATGATTTCATATTTGATTCTACTCCCAAAAATTTGGTTTTAATGTAACGTAGAATTCACTTGAAATGGCCTAAGCAATATGAAATTTTGTATATATTTTTGTTAGTGTTTATTTTATCACTAAAGTTTCAAGTAATACTATTATATACTGTGTATATTTTTATATATATATATTCTCTGAACAAAATAGCGGATTCACCTCGAATATTTATTAAATATAGAGGTGAAAACGGTATATGCGCATTTAAAAATAGTATCTCCCCGTGTAAAGTAATTAAATTGACATAATAAAATAAATTATCTTTTTTTGGGAAACAAGTCTTATCGGAAATTTCTTTTTTTTCCATTTATCCTTTTTCAAAACTATTATACTTGATATACTAAAATTCGTGTAATATATATAAATCAGCCAAAGTCTCTTATTTAGATATGGGCGGTATATCATCAACCCTTAATTAGTAAGTACCGAAAACTTTAGTTGATCAAATACAAGAATTAAAAATCATATGTTTAATTATTAATTAGTATAATATGAACCTCCAAAAAAAAAGTTCTCTCTTATATTAGTCATTTAGAGATTAATGGCAGTACCACAAAAGCCCGTGTTAAATAAAAATGAGGAAACAATTCAGAATCGACAAAATGTGTCGCCCAAAGTTTCTAGAGCAAGACAGCAACTTAAAAATGGTTTATCGCAACAACCACAAGATGATGGATATTATTTACGTATTTCAATAACAGCGCTGGACAAAAACCGTCGCGATCCTGCTTTTAAGTTTAAAGCTATTGTAAGAAACAGACTTTTGCATGAGTTTAAAAACTTGTTTATTTAAACATTTGAATAATAATTATATCATTTCAGACTAATTTACCTAGATATAAAAATAGTTCATATCCTTCAATTGAACGTTCATATGTAGAATTTGAGAGGTTATACAATGCATTGGCCTATTCTAATCCAGAATGTATAGTACCAGCATTGCCTTTTTCGTCGAGTAGTTATCAAGCAAATGAGGAGGATGAACGTAAAGTTAAGCATTCTTTACAACAATGGGTTAACCGAGTGGCAATGAACCCTTTTTTATGTCATGATGAAGAACTTAGATCATTTATAGAAACTGATTTTACTGTAAGTTAAGATATTGAGTGATAAACATTATCAAGGAGTATATATTGTATATAATAGTATTTATTTATTTTAGTTTATCCCAGCTACTAAACCACGTAAGAGGTCTAGTGGTTTCAGACTATTCTCTTCGGATATTAGGGATGAGGATAAAGGGTTGACTCAGGCAAAATCGATTGCGCATATTTTAGAAGGACATTTCCTTGATAATGCTAAAACTTGTCAAAAATTGGCAAAATATCGTAAAGGTTTGAAATTTAAAATTTTGCAATTATTATTTATTTATTTATATTATCATCATTGTGTAATGTTATTAAATTCAAGCTATAATTTTTAGGTTTGGCAACTTTTAATTCTGATCTTGGAATAAAATCTATTGCATTAGGAACAGTTGAAAAGCATCCCCCTTTATCAAAGTAACTAATAAAAATTTTACTTTTTTTTTTAAAAAAAAATTTTGAAACTTATAAATGTTCTTTCTTAGTGGTATACGAAAATTTGGAAAATCTCTTCAAATAATCAGTGAACTACAAAAATTACAAGCTATTAGTGATGTAGCTACTCTTGGTGATTTTTTTAGTTACTATGCCATTAATTCTCATGTAGTAAAGGTATATGAATACAATGTATGACAAAAGCACGATATTATGTAATGTTTTTGACGAATTTTTTTTATTTAGGAAACTTTGGCAAACCGTCTTAAAATTATATCTGAACATGACGAAGCAGTGAAAACTACTATAAGCAAAAGGCGTTACATCGAACGTTTAAAGTCTTCAACAAATATTAAGCCTGAAAAAGTTGACGAAGCCTTAAAAGAATTAGAATATGTGAGCTTTCTATTCATTTAATAAGTAATTCTCATTTATAAAAATTATTTATAAAATATTTAATTTATTTTTAAAAAGTCCAAAGGTTATGAACAAAATCTTGACGCACGTGTCAAACGTGTAACGAATAACCTTCATAACGAATTAAGGATATATGAAGAAAACCGCGCTCAGGATTTTTTCAATACTGTTAAAGAATATGTTAAAAAACAGATTGTATTTGAAAAACAGCAATTAAAAGAATGGGAAAATTTGAGACCGGATATTAAGGCAATTACCAAACGAAATATGCATATTCATGCGTTTGGAAATGAAAAACTTGATGCTAAAGCTGTTGCGGAGAGATTAAGCACATACATGTGATTAGATTTAAGCGGAAGCTATCAAAATAACAAGGTTTTTTTTTAAAAAAAAAATAAAATTGTTATATTCGGATATTTATTAACGTAGAATTGAAGCGATGCTAGGGATACTGCTGTTTTTGTAATAATAATACATTAGGGTAAGAAATAGAATTATTCTTTTTTTTTCTTTTTTAAAAAAAAATCGAGATAAATTATTGTTCTCATAATCAAAACCAATAAATATGGAAATATAATAGATATATAGGACTGAAATAAACGATCAATCAAAAGATCAAACACCACAACTTTATACTATACTTTCAACACAACTTCCAAACATTTTTTTGATGATAGCCCTAAATAATAAATTATATTAATTAGCTTTATTAAAAATAATGATTAGGTTTAATATGTTATTTACCTTCCATATGGTATGTAACTAGCACTGAAAAATCAAAAAATTTAAATTAATTACAAAAAAAAAATTGTTTTCAAAGACAAACACTGTTTAATTAATAATACTTGCCAATACCAAAATAATGCCAACCATTGAATAATGCATAAAATTATGCATAAAAGTCCATTTTTCAGCTGCGTTAAAAGGAACTAGCTTAGTTAACTAAATTATAAAGAAAAGCCACCACAGTTCGGCGTATAACTTACCGTGAACGCGACTACCAATGTAAGTACTAAAGTTCCAAGGAAAATTAAACTAGCAAACCAGCGAACTTTCACAAGAGATCAACTTATTAATTATATCATAATCATAAATGTTAATTCAATTCATGCAATTTTTCTAAAATAAAAATAAATACCTGGAGCAAACATCGTTTTAATTTGCTTTTTAAAACCGACAAGGAAACCGGTACTTTTTTTTAATAAAAAAAAAACAAAAATTCTATTAGAGATTTCGATATTTTCAAAGGTTTTTTTTTTTGTAAAATAGCTTTACCTCATGAGAGATATAATATTTCCAATAGTGTACAAAATGGCAAAACCAGTAATGTTTGAAGTGAATAATGAAAGTGTAGACTAAATAAAGTAAGAAAAGATTAGTTATATACTAATTAATGATAGTAAATAAAAAAACTCACCAGTATGCTTATAACAAAACCAAGAACAAAGCTATTTTGCACGATAAAACATAACGCGTTAATAAACCTTTTCATTTTGAGAAAATACAACGCGAAGTAAATTACCAGATTCCAAAACCATAAAGTCGTTGAGTCTTAGAGAGTTTGAAAAAATCGTCAAAGGGACTTGTATCGTCCATAGTCCCTTGATCTCCGAACTCTAAAGAATTCCACAATTTCATTTTACTTGGATTATTGAATTAGGTTTTTTACTAAAGAAAGGAAGTATCGAGTCAGTTAAAACTGTGGCACAGGCTGGAATTTTATTATTTCCGTTGGCATGTGATATAATAGAAGTGTAAGAATAAGAAAATTATAATTCCGCGACAATCATATTTATTACTGCGGATCAGCGGATTTTAAATTTTGTGAATCAATCTTTTCAATGGTTTTAATTTCAAGAGAATTTTGATCTTGTTGATTTTTATTATCATCTTTATTTTCCCATTGCATTCCAGGAAGTCTTAAAATTTGCGACTTCCTTGGTTCCAATCCTTTTATCAAAAGTCTATCTAAAAGGTCTCGTAACTTTTCATTATCATTTTTCAGTTCTTCAAGATGATTCATCATTCGATCCTCAAAAGATCGATTTATTTCGATGTTAGATTTCAATTCTTTGGTTTCCTCTTGTAATTTCTCTATTTGATCATTCAAATGGTGTTGACGGTCTTTGGACATTTTGTATGATCTATAAAAAAAAAAATAAAAAATAAATAAAAATAAAATGATAATAAAATATAAAGAATTTATTAGCAATATTAATAATCAATATACCTAGCTTGTTCCCAAATGATTAAAGAACTTGCAACTCCGAAAATAACTGCCTCGCCTAAAAAATTAGCACCCATCTCTACAGCTCTAAATGTCAAAAAATAAAAAAATATATATAAACATAAATCATTTATTTCATATGACTAAAATAAGATTAAAAAATAATTACTTTGCATCGTTTAAAGGACGGATTTTTTCGGGTTTTCGTTTTTGACTCAACAAATTCATCTTTAATTTAATTTCAAACCGATGAGTTGCCTGCGCTATATTAATACACATTTGACGAAAGGTTGCATGTCTTTTACTATAATTCTATTCATTTATTTTTTCATAGAAAAAAAAGGACATGAGTACAAACTTAAAACGAGTTAAATACAAAGTATTTTTAATTACTTTAATACTATTTGCAATTGGTTTCGCTAGTGTACGAACAAGCAAAATGCCTAATTTTGTTGTACTCATTTTGTGGAAAAAGCTAAAAAATGAAAAAAAATTTCACCGATCGAAGGATCTATTTATTATTGTTGATTACATAATCATTCATAACAAATGATTGATTACCTCGGTCCATAAAATAACAATGAGTTAACGTTAATTAAAAAGACAATTTTAATATTATATGTCAACATTCGCAGATATTAACATTTTGCTGATGATGTGTATTTTTTATATAATTCACATGATCTGTATATTTTACAAAGATTTTGTATAGATTATTTAAGGATTCCAGAGAATCAAGTCTCGTACTTAGCGATATAGATAGGCGAAATTTTCGGCAAAAAAAAATAATATGATGCTGGGACTCGCTCCCTCCCTTCATATATTTCGCTTACTCCATATTACATTATTACTTGGCTGGCCTTTTTTAATATCAATGAAAATAATAAAGCTACGCTCATATCGAAAAATAAATTTCTTGGAAAAACTATTATACTTTTTCACACGATCGAAATCAAAGTTGCAAATGCATGGACGGTAATATACCGTGTCAAGAGTGAAGAGCAAGAACCGAATTTCTATTCGTTAAAGTAAATCTTCTTTCGGGGTTTCTTTGAAAGTGAGATCTTTTTTTACAAACTTTTTTTAGGAACAAAAAAGTAAATGATTTTTGTTATTCGAATATCTATGTCAAAGTATTATACTTTTGTTTGTGTCGTACAAAAGACCTGGCCAATCAATTCAAACTTCAAATCGACCAAAAACGGCAGCTCATATTTTCTCATTCACGTACAAAGCATTTCGCTCTAGGATTTATCAATGGTTGCTTGTAATTTTTTTCTAAGTTTTTCCTCTTTTAAAAAACAAATCTTAAGACGAATTATATAATTTAATCGCTTTTTATTATTATAGAGCCTTTTTAGCTTCAGTTCACCGGCAGATATAGACATTCGTTTTAATGGAGAGGAACAAAGGAAATTAGTAGAGGTCAAGGTTGACAAAGATCGTCGCGATAAGTTTCCCCTGTATTTTGATGGCGAAACCGTAGCTGGCAAAGTGAATAATTCTGTATCCATTGTGTGTTTTCTTTTTTTAATTTAATTAAACCAACTTTTTTAAAAAAAAAATATTTAAACAAGGTAACTATTAGACCTCGCGATGGAAAGAAGCTTGAACATCAAGGGATTAAAATAGAATTCGTAGGAAATATCGGTAATTTCATATATATCTCTATTATTTTATCATTCAAATAATTTTTACTCGAATATCGTTTTACTAATATGTAATTTGGAATATTTAGAGCTTTTCTACGATCGAGGTAATCATTACGAATTTACTTCTTTAGTGCAAGAATTGGCAGTACCTGATGAAATGCGTCAACCACAATCTTATGAATTCGAATTCAAAAACGTCGAAAAACAATATGAGAGTTATCACGGAATAAATGTTAAATTGAGGTTAATATTATTATAATTAAGTATGCCTTTTTATAATTTATTAAGTATTTTTTCTTTTTAGATATTTCGTTCGCGTGACTATTTCAAGGCGTATAACAGATATTGTAAACGAGAAAGATATATGGGTTTATTCATATCGTATGCCCCCAGATAGTAATAGTTCTATCAAAATGGAAGTTGGTATTGAAGACTGCCTACACATTGAATTTGAATACAATAAGTCAAGGTGTGCTTAAACTTGTTGTAAATAATTTATATGTTAAAAATTTAAAAAGAAATCAAACTTTACACCTTTTTTTTCTAGATATCACCTAAAAGATGTAATTGTAGGCAAAATTTATTTCTTACTCGTTCGTATAAAAATTAAACATATGGAATTGTCAATTATTCGTCGTGAAACTACCGGTGCAGGTATTTAGAAATATATAGGTACGTATGGTGATTAATTTTCACACACTAAACACCATTTAATTGTTGTCTAGCACCAAATCAATATAATGAAAGCGAAACGATTACTAAATTTGAAATTATGGATGGCGCTCCAGTACGCGGTAATTTATAATAACTTTTTTACAATTGCAGGTTACTCTTAAATTTTTTTAATATAAATATATATCTATTTTAAACTTTTTGGTTTAGGTGAAACAATTCCCATTCGTCTTTTCCTTGGAGGGTTTGAATTAACTCCAACATTCCGTGATGTTAACAAAAAGTTTTCCACACGTTACTATCTTAATCTTGTTCTCGTTGATGAAGAAAATCGACGATATTTTAAACAACAAGAAATTACAATCTATAGAAGAAAAGGTAGGAATTTAAATTTTTTAACCCTTTTAAAATCGCTATTTAATTTATTTAATTAAAATTTACGTTTTATTATAGTTGATGATGGCTTATCTCCTGATGATCAAGAATAATTTATAGAACATTTTGGATTTTTAATTAATTTTAATAAATTATTTTTGCCTGTTTTAATATTTTTGCCTGTTGTAATTTCGAAAAATTTTTGTAATTTTATATTTTGTATATTGAATATTAGTTTTTTTTTTAAAATAAATTTATTATTAATTATTTGGGTGGATTGGCATTCAGAAATCATTCCTTATTTCTCAATTTCTCAATTGCCATAAGTAGATAAATCACAACTTAAAGAACGGTGGTTTTCTTTTGAATAGCAGAGTAGATATTGGAGATTGGAATTGGTCAAAGTTTTGAGCGTGGATGGTTGACTGAACCTAGAAATATTGAATATTTTATGTCAAATAATTATACTTTTAATAAACATTGAATTTATTCAATTTTATTAAGGATGATAAACGGTCCCAAATGATTTTGAACAAATTTAGAAATTACGAATGATAGAAAAGACCAATCGCTTATCTATAATAATTTACTCTTATTAATAAAAGAAAAAAGAACTTTGTGATCTACAATTTTCATGGGACCGCTAAGTCCTAAGTTTCAAAATTAAGATTCTGGATTCTCATTAGAAAGTAAAAGTTAACATCAGTAAATAAAAATCTTATCCAGTTGGGATTCTAGGACCACTTAACATCCCTAACATTTTAATATTTAAAATGGATTATATAATTCTTGAATAAATGCATATATTTTTCTAAATTCTTTAGTAATTAGATTTTTTTGCATTTCTATACAACTTTTCAAATCTAATTTACTCAAACTTTTACTATGAATTCATAAATATGATTGTAAAGATATAAAATAGTATATTTAATCTTTATTATATTTTTGAATTTAAAATCTTTTTTAGAATACAACTAAATAAAATAATAATCAAATAAATTTAAATTAATCAAACAAAAAAAAATAATTTAATTATATCCAAACTATTTATAATTATTAAAAGTTAAAAAGTATATTACAAATAATTATACTTTTTACTTTCTAAACTTTTTATTGATAAATATATTACTATTAAAAAAAATTTTTTTTTAATTTTTTTTATGATTAATTTGTTCAATAAAATAATTGTAAAGGAAAATTTTGTCTGATACATATGTATCTAGTAAAAGTAAAGTAATAATTAAACTTTATTGTTTAAAAAAACTATTAAAGTTCTTAGATAAAAATATTTATTATAAACAATAATTTAATAGAAATTTAAATAATCATTTTTAATTGTAATACTAAATAATCACTTCATATAAATTATAAACTTTAATAAAAATAGGAATATTAATTATATTATTAATAATATATATAAAACATGTAAATACTAAATAATTTATATATATAATTGAATTTCTCTATAATAAATCTTTTTAAAAGGCACAATTTATTATAATAAGAAAATTTGATAATGTTTTACTGAATTTTAAAAATTTATTCACTATATAGTGATATTGAATATTATATCCAACACATTAATTATTGCTTATTCAAAACCAATTAATCTTAGATTTAATACTAATTAATTTAAAATTTAATATTAATTAATTCTTATATAGAATTTTATCAAATATTTTAAATTTGATTTATTATATATAACCAAAAATTCAGCTAAGCTAATGATTCAATTTAAAATCAGTTTACTTAACATCTTTACATATTTTTATTATATATTTACAAGTTTAATTTTTATTGGTTATAAATTTATTATAATTTACAAAAAAAAAATTATGATTTTTTTTAAATAATTAATTTATTAATTTATATTTTATTAAATAAAACTTTATTTAATATTAATAATTTTAAAAAAAATTTGCTATATTTCTTAAATTTTAATATTAATATTTGTTATATAAAAATTTGTTTTATTTTATTACAGTTAGAACTTGTAATCCAAATGATCTTCAAGAATTGAAAAATGTGACATAGTAAAGTGATCTATAGTGATCAACATGTGGATTGATCTACAAAATCAATGATACAATGATCTGCAAAGCAATCTGTAAAATTAATCAGATCAGTTAATAAAGAAATGAAGTAATAGATCATTAGCCTATGATGATACACATAACCTTTTAAATTAGAAACTCCAAAAAAGAACTTCAAGAAGAAACTAGTTAAAAACTAAGTATAAGAATGTAGTAATAATTTAAGAACAATATAATTATATTCTCTATATCTCTTTAAATATATATATATTATAGTTAAAGGATTATTGCATAGCGATTAGATAGTCATTACTCAATCATTACAACAAAATTACATAGAAAAAGATGAGGAAATTATTACATAGTTATTATACAATAGATAGCAATTTAGTGTAGAAATTTTATTATAAATAAGCTGAGTTTTTCATCATGTATTATTAGAAATTTAGGAAGAAATTTAAAAAGAAAAACTTAGGAAATTTGAAAGATAATTTATAAGTTAATAAAATATTTGTTAAATTATTTCGACAAATCAATCATTTTTGTCAAACATATTTTGTGTCAACCATATTTTTATGTTAGCCATGTTTAATATTATTGATTTATTCGTATCAACAAATCTCTCAAGTATTAAACAATTGCTTTGTATCAACCATTATGTTTAAAGTTAGCAACAAGTTAATATTGCAAAATACTTTAAGCTGAGTACTACTAACTTGATTATAATAAG